GGGGGTGTGGTCAGGGGAACAGCTTTCAGAACACATCAATGTTCTGGAAATGCGTGCTGTTCTGTTGGCCCTTCGGGGTCTTCGACCCTCCCTGCAGGGCAAGGCCATTTGTCTGGCTACAGACAACTCCACTGTGGTGGCTTATCTGCAGCGCCAGGGGGGCACCCGTTCCCCGGCTCTGTGTGCTTTATCCACCCAGGTCCTGTTGCTGTGTCAGGAGATCAGTCTCGATCTCACGGTGAGGCACCTTCCAGGTCGTCTGAATGTTCTGGCCGACACTCTGTCTCGGTCTCGGAGCCCGGTTCTCACCGAATGGACCCTCAAGCGTTCGGTGTTCCGGTCTCTTTGCCTGGTTTGGGACAGACCCCATGTGGATCTGTTCGCCACGGCCCTGAACTTTCGACTCCCTACATTTGTGTCTCCGGTTCCAGACCCTATGGCCATGGCGGTGGATGCTCTATCCCAGGACTGGTCGGGAATGTACGCGTATGCGTTTCCTCCCTTCAATCTGGTGGGCAGGGTGTTGGAAAAGATCCTTCTACACCCTTGTACTGTGTTGCTGGTTGCACCGCTCTGGCCTCGACAACCTTGGTTTCCTCTGTTGCTTCGGCTGTCGGTGGACTTCCCACGCAGCATCCCACCCCTGTGGGATCTGCTGTCTCAACCGAGGTCCCGACAGTTCTACTCGGGACCGGAACGGCTCCACCTTCACGGTTGGATGCTATCTCGGGAAGGCTCACTCAGACGGGCTTTTCTCGAGAAGTTGCAACTCGCATCGCAGGATCACTTAGACCTTCGTCTTCCGCCGTCTACCAATCTCGATGGTCCGCATTCGGTGATTGGTGTGTCGGACGGTCGATTGATCCAGTCTCTGCCTCTGTTCCCGTTGTAGCTGACTTTCTTTTGTCTCTGTTCAGGGACAAAGGTCTGTCTCCGGGAACTATTGCAGGCTATCGTTCAGCCATTGCTAGTGTGCTGGCTTTCTATGGTAGCAAGTCAGTGGGCTCGGACGCTTCATTGTCGGCTCTCATTAGGGGCTTCTACATTGAGAAGCCTCGTTCACGGCAATTGGTCCCTAGGTGGAATTTAGCACTTGTGCTAGATTCCTTGTTAAGGGCGCCATTCGAGCCCCTCCAGTCGACAGATCGGAAGTTTCTTACTTTCAAGACTGTGTTCTTGATAGCCTTTGCTTCCGGTCGCCGCAGAAGCGAGATTCATGCTTTCAGCAGATCTTCTTCTTGCCTTCGTTTTTCGGCTGGCCATTCTTCGGTCTCGGTGACCACTGATCCCTCCTTTTTAGCTAAGAACCAGGTTCCCGGTTTCACCCCAGGGCTTGTGGTTATCCCTTCTTTGGCTTCAACTCTGGATGGGGATTGTCCTGATCGCCTGCTCTGCCCAGTTCGGGCCTTGCGTTACTACTTGGCCAGAACAGAGGGGGGGGCGGGACACTCGTCTCGGCTGTTCCAGTCTCTCCAGCCCGGTCGCTCTGATATCTCTGCAGCGACCATCTCACGCTGGATTGTTCAGACTGTTCGAGCTGCGTATGAGTCGGCAGGGGATCAGTCCTTGCGGGTGTCAGGGGTTAGGGCTCATGAGGTTCGCGCTTTAGCTACTTCGTGGGCCTTATTTAATGGTTCTTCTTACGCTGAGGTCATGACAGCTGCTGTTTGGAGGGGTCATTCTACGTTTACGGAGTTCTATCTCCGATCTTTGTCGGGACAGTCTGACGGATTGTATTCTTTGGGCCCTCTTGTGGCTGCCCAGTCCGTTGTCTGTCCTCCCTCTTCTTTTGCATAAGCCTCATTATGTCTTCTCCGCGTGATCCGGAACGCTGGTCGTAATCAGGCTTTGTGTCACAAAAGGAAAGGGTATTTTGAATTTTTCCTCCGGGGGTATGGGTCCTATTGTTGGAACCCTTCATCGCTCCACGGAGACACCACTGCGGTAAGTCGAATTCGCATTATAATGACTGTGGTAACGTATTTTGAAATAGAATTGAGGTTTCTCTTGTGAAACCAATTTCTATTATAAATACTTACCACAGTCATTAGGTGAGTTCCCTCCCAGCCTCCCCTTGTCTCCTTGGCTCTCACTTTTTTGGGCTTTGGAATTATGAAGTGGGAAGCATGGCTTCGTGTCTTATCACGTGCGTGAATACTGCCGTCTGATTGGTGGGTTTCCCAGGGGTTCCCCATGGGGGGAAAAAGTCTTTATTTACGTATGTAAAGAGTCAAGTAAGGTTGGAATATGCATTATAATGACTGTGGTAAGTATTTATAATAGAAATTGGTTTCACAAGAGAAACCGCAATATTATACATTTCCATCACTATCCTTTTGTCAATTATACGAGGATATCCACCCTGAAACCTATATGTCAACCTTCCAGGTTAGCAGGCGGTCGTTATAGTCGATTTGTCGGCATGTGTTAACGTCGGTAGTGTATCTTTAGGTTGGCTGTCGACGTCCGATGTTGTATACGTTATTGAAAAGCTCGGATAAAGTTTAGGATAGACAAATTGTGGGACAAACCAGACAGGAAATACACTGTCCATTTTCTTATGACGTCATACAATGTTACAGATATAATGCTGGATTTACAAAGATTTCCAAGTTAATAACCGGTGTTGCGTCAAACTTCAATCTACAAATAGACCTAGAACAGGTAGTATGACGTCACAAATGTTCTAGGACGTCACATCAGTTAGATGCATGGATAGTCCCCTATAGTTTTGGTGATCCGTTATCTAACAGACCGGTTACGTATTTGATAAATCACGGCTTTACACATATTCTGTCGATAAATGTACATGTAGACTCCGAGCCAGACCCTGTTGCATTATCAAGTTTACTAAATATATAAATCATCTCATTCATCAAAATTATATTATCTAATTGTTAGCTTAACTTTTAGTAAAATCAAGAGAAGACTCGGAAATGTTTTGAAAACGTCAATTTTTATTTGAAGACAACACGATGGGGTCTAAGCACCGTTACGTATGAAAAATATACTTTTATTTGTTTTAATTTTGATCTTTACTAATCGAATTATCAAGTATATCTGAGGTCTATTAAACGACGGCTGTGGTAATCGACCAGACTGTGTGTACAGGCGAGGATAGCTGGGGAGTCCACCTCCCTGTCTAGCTATGTGGTGGACGTTGTCAGTAACCTACTCTATCAGTTATCGCCGTATAACATACTGACCAACTGTAGACATTATATCTCGTTTAGTCAAAACATCTTTCTGTTGTATACTGTAAATCACTAAGATTTCACGATATAACTATTTTTGCGTATTTGCAGCAGAACTCACTGTTAATAAGATCTCTCCATAAATGTTTATTTTGGCATAACGAAAAAAAAATGATCTATTATATATTAACTGTTACTGTAATTTCGCCAATTTAAATTCTCACGAAATCGCAAAAAAAAAGATATTTACGAAAACTGGGCGATTTACAATGTGTTCTTCGTAATATAGTATACGTAAACCCCAGTGAGTTAACTCCGCCGTCCCCTGATTACAGCATAGGTTCCTGTTCTCCTTGGGCGAACCATATCTATTTAATAGAGAAATTATAACAGAAATATTGGTGGATGATTGATTATATTTCCAAGTTGCATGTTCTTATTAAAGAAATGTAGGTTTGTTATCTAAATTATATACATCTATATATGTTATACAGACTGGTTATATAAAGTGTATGTTGTTTTTACAGAAATAAAGGTTGGTTATGTAAATTGTATGCAATTGTTACAGAAACTCAGGTGGATTATCTAAGTTTGGGAAATTAATATCTGGTGTAACGGCAAACTTCAACTCAAAGTTAGAATTACAGCAGGTATTATGACGTCATTTAAAGATATGCATGGCGGGAAACCATCTTACCTTTCCATCTCTCATTTTTTTCATTTACTCAATATCAATCAAGTCCTCGGAAAGACACTTGTTTCGGAATTGTTGTAATAGTTCCATGTTATTATGTAAAATTTGATATATCAACCACAAACCTCACTAATATAATTAGGAAAGCTTCAAGTGACGTTGATGTGCACTTTGTCCTACATCAGTGGTTCTTTGAGCTTTTCAAAATTGAAATTTAAATGAATATGAAACATCCTCTTGGTTATCGCTGGGTGGTTTATATTTCTCAAGTTCACGATGGTAAAAGTTGATGTTTAGATATAGAAGTCTTCTTCATTTATAACAGTAGAATTTATTGTGTTCGACTGTCAATGAATAATATAATAATTCATAATATTTTTTATTTATTATGGAGCCGGAATTTGACAAGATCTTCCCTGTAAGACCGCGACATTTTGCTTATTCTACAATTCTTATCTAATAACTGTTTGTGCTTACACACAGAACTATACATTAAATTCAAGCGCCAAAAGACCAGCAAAAGTCATCATAGTTGACAAAAGTAGGCAACGCCTAGAAGTGGCTATTAAGGCAATTATTACCAAGACACACGAAGAACACATCGACCAATGTTTAGTGTTGTTTTAGCATTATGAGAGCTGGAGGGGTTCGATGGGATTAACTGTAGATATTGTGGATGGTGTCGTGTATTCTGAAGTCTTTTTTATTCGTTCTTTTTTGTAAAGCTGTTATATCAAAGAGTTTTCAGCTAAACTGCTTTGTTAATAATAATAAAGAGTTTGATTAACAAACGCGAGAATTCCGTTTGACAGTAGGATTACCTTTCTTTTTTCAATCTCATTGTCGCGCGAATTAACTCGCGGGTTTAGCGTAGATGGACACTCGTGTCCATGACATCAACGCTTTCTTTCAGTAAACAGTCAGAACAAAGCTTACTAACGTGACCTGTACTAGGTATCCTGAGATACAGTGGTCAAGTTTCTTTTGTAGGTACGGTGGCGAGTTCTTCACTTTAGGGGGTCTCGTACGTCGAGTTACTGACGATTTCAACACAAATATTGATTTATTTCAGGTAATGAAAGACAACTGGATCACATGCATTTGATTAGTTATTGACCTAAGATTAGTGATGTGCCACCCACCTTAACAGCTGCCGTCGATAACATGCTGACAGCCGCCTCTATGTTGATACCTTTAATAATGTGTTTCCACAAAATGCCGCTATATTTCCTATCACCAGTATTTGCTCACCGGTTCGCTATGGACCACGACACACACAGACCCCAATTTTATTCCCGAATGCATACTTTCTTATACATTTGCTTTAACTGATAAATTAAATTTCTTTTCAAAATTAATAATAAGAAGATTGATCAAATTATCCAAAGAGGTTCGATTTATAATTTTATAATAATCCTGCGAAATAACATTAGTTACCCACTGGTCGGCTGAGTGTCCTGTTAACACCAGTATTCTGTTTCTAATTCCTATACGGTGACACTTTGCATGCTTTTCGGGTACATATTTTAATGTGATGCTGATTTTTGTTTATTTTTTTCTAAGAATAAAGGATGTTGCAAATTCTCACATGCATGAACTCACCTACACATAATGGATGCGACCTACATGTACAATTGTTTGATGAGTTTGTCATTGTTTATATAAGAAGCTTGATTTTTGATAATCCTCGGTCTGTGAGCTTTGTCTTGAATCAATAACCTGTAATACCTCAATTTTTCAGGTATGGAGGAGGCTCATTTTTCTTCAGTAACCTTGTATCTGGTCTAAGTAGAAAATTCAACACTGTTTTTGAAATTGAGCAGGTAAATGTGATGATGAACTCACTGTAGGATAAAAAGCTAGTTAGACCAGGAGAGCTAGTAAGAGCAGGAGAGCTAGTTAGACCAGGAGAGCTAGTTAGCAACCGTGTTTTACAACTGAGAACAGTGATATCGAGTTCGTGATGTATGACAGTATGACAACACAGTCTATTGAGTCCGTGATATGTGACAGTATGACAACACAGTCTATTGAGTCCGTGATATGTGACAGTATGACAACACAGTCTATTGAGTCCATGATGTATGACGGTATGACAACACAGTCTATTGAGTCCGTGATATGTGACAGTATGACAACACAGTCTATTGAGGTCGTATGACAATTGTGATATCACACTGATGCTGTTTTATCATAGGTGGACAATGATACTCCACATATGTTACATATATTTATATATTATGACAAATGTCACAGTTTCGCTGATTACTGTAGATCACTAAACTTCGTGTAGAAAGTCATGCTAGCACACTCTCGCTATTTATGTTTACAACTTTTATACATTTCCTAAACAATCTTTGCCTCAAATGTTTATCTTTCGTAGAAATTGTTACTTCTAGCTTGATTATAGCTATACTGTGAGGTGCTTAGTAGTATTTCGTATTTGATTTATTCTTCTGTATATCAAGGGCAAACTGATTTTTCTATATTTTAGTAAATCCATTTTGATTCTTATAGTTCTTTTTTGCCCAATGAAGTACACGTCCCTGGTATTAATATTGTCAAAGAGTATAGGAGACCTCCTTACATAATGTCTCATACACATTAATGGAGAGGCCACCTTACCTAATGTCCCATACACATTAATTGAGAGGCCACCTTACCTAATGACTCAATCACATTAATGAGGCCTACTTACCTAATGTCCCATACACATTAATGGAGAGGCCTCCTTACCTAATGTCCCATACACATTAA